GATTTCTGACAACTTAACAAGACGGCACAAGAATGCAAGATTTTCGACGATAATTGTCGCCGGGATATAGCTGCGGGATTCATCGATCGAGAAGGGTAAGATTCAGGTTGATCTTTGAAGGTCTTAGGTACTAGACTACTACTATAAATACACCGTCCTTCACGGGCATCGTTATGGGGAGGGGGGTATACAAAAAACAGTTATTTTAACACTTAATTTAACATTTTGAGACTCAGGTTATGTAATTGTCGGCGAAACACTAGTGAAATTTATCGAATCGGAAGGGAAAGATTCACTTTGATTCTGAAGAGTTTTACTAGTTTTTGATATTCCTATCCGCTTTCCATAAAATTTATGAAAGGGTGCGTGTTATTGGCTGTTCTTGCGATATTGTAAGGGAAAATTTATGCGGTGAAAAGATATTTTTTTTAATAAGACGTGGGTGGAATTGATTTGGAGGCTTATCTGTCGATCAGCGGTGAGTTATTGTGTGTTATTTAAGATTTTCGCTAGGGTTTGCACGCTGGTTGGGGAAGGCCGTTTTCAAGCGTAAAGGTGTTCAGGAATTAAGAGTGGTCGATTTTACATTTATAGAGGCAAGTGTTAGCATACTGAAGTTCTGCAGCGGCGAAACTGAATAATTTTAAAGCATTAAGAGCAAAACAGTCTAAATTACAGACCTTTATTAAATATTAAATCTTTAATCTGTTAACCGCGGAGTTCTAAAAAGATCCACCTTAGGCCGAGTATTTTTAATCATACATGAAGTAAATTAGTTAACTTGGTTAACGACCCATGCTTTCCAAGAAAATAGCAAAAATTCAAGTTTCTTTTTATTTCGTGGCAAAAATTACAAGTCTTGAAAATGGTAAAATAATGCGCCATTTCAAAAGAGTGCCACGTAAGTATAAAATGTGTACATGACAAGTTCTTACTTTTGACTGTCTCAGTAAGAGTTTTCCTGTAAAAAAATGACGTTGATTTAGAAATTAAAAGCCACTAATTAAAATATTTCATACATCCCTCCCGGAAAGTATACCAATTGTTAATTGAAATTTATTGAAAAATACATTCCAAAATGCAGTATTCTTTATGATTCACGGTGGTGGTCAATTACTGAAAATCAGGGGCGGCTGGTGCCGGGGGGTACAAGGGCACGTGCCCCCCCAAAATTACAACGTCTACAAACACACTGGACATAGCAAAATAGTAATTTTCAATATTTAAAAAATGATCCGGAAATTTGTGTCATAATTATCAAAACTTACTTCCACTTGCATCTAAAAATGTGTCTTAGATATATGATTTGTTATTTCTGATGAAATGCTGATAAAAGCCCGGCACAGAGACCGAATGGACCGAATCATGGCTGATTTAGATGTTTTATTTACACCGTTGCCATGGAAACTACACGTCGTAGCCGCCTGATATGCGCCTGATACAACTGGATTGTGAGCCCGTTGCGACGGTGCTCTGGAGGATTGAGTTACTATCGCGGGTTTTAATTTTCATTCTGCGCGAACACGTATGATAAGTATTCTTGGATAATCTTCTCGGTAATACAGACATTCGGAAACAACTACACACCGCTTATATTAGTAATATTCGGGCACATAACGCAAGGGTCGACAAAAATCACCATATATTACGCCGATTGATAATGTGCATAAAATTTTGTGGAGTGTTTGAATTTCGAGATCTGATTGATTTTATGGCTGAATTGGACTTTATCAGATCATTTGAAAGAAGCAACGGTTTTTGAAGAAACGCCTAAAACTGTCCAAAATGAACTTTTGGATGCCATTAACACCGAAGGCAAAAAGGTATGTGCTGAAATCCTTTTTTATTTTTATTGAATGTATTTTTGTATTTATTTCCGTCACACAATTTCGTCTATTATTTGGTAATAACAACCTGTTTTATATCTTCATATGTATTTAAGTCATCAATCAAATTGTGTCCCCCCATTTCAAAAGGTCACCAGCCGCCAATGCTGAAAATATCGGTAAAGATCTAATTATTCTATGGATCTCTGTTTCGTCCTCTACGGAAATTTTGGTACCCACAACTTCATGAAAACCCAGCTACCTGTGTTTTATATTTTTATGCACCTCCTAGCTATAGTCCTGCCTTTCTTTTTATTATTATTATAAAAAGAAATATTACACGTATGTTTTCATTGCTAGACAACACATAATTTTCTAATTTTTTTGTAATTTCAGTTAATTATTATTACTTTGTACACAAAATTTTCAGATTTTCGTTTCGTTGTTTGTTATTCAGCTCGATTTATTTATTATAGACGAGTGAGAAGGGAAGTATTTTTTCTCTCAATTCCCTGATATGATATTACACTGTGTATTGTTGAAAATAATTTTAGTGTATGCTATTTAAAAAAACCTACAACTCTATTCTTTGATTTTTTTTTTTTTTGAAATATTAACATGATTGAATTTGATATTGTTACGAAATAAACCCATACGTCGCCCCAGTACGACGGCTATGGATCTTCAAATTATGTGTGTGTTTATTCTGGTATGTACGGCGGTGATGACTCATCAGTCGGGCGGCGCGGCGTTCGCTGACAAAAAGCCTGGAAGCGGAAGTTGCGATGAGCAACCCAGAAAATCCTCGAAGCGGCGTTCTCGAACCATCGAGAGAAACGTATAGGTTAAATAGAGGCCACCGTCAGGAACGATTCAGTCAATCCAAGTCCAGCGAATGTTAAGTCGAGTTACGCCGGAATTAGTTTGTACATAATCGCTGTGCAGTTAGTCGTGTAAATTTGAGGTATTAAGAAATAAATTCTTGAGTTTTACCCACACCGATTTTATTCGCCCGTTCAACGTAACAGTATAATAAATTAATTAAATATTTCAATAGAGAACGAACACACACAGAGAGAGAAAGAGAGAAATGAAAGGTAATAAATCAAAACAGAAGGATAATAAAAGAAAGACAAGGGAGACACACGCGACCTAAAAATTCCAAAAATGAATATATTAACAAAACCGGAAAAATCGAAAGATAATAGATTGGATAAAAAAATGAGAATACTTGAAAATTTGAAAACCGGAAAATGAAAAATCAAACTACACAAATCAAAAATTAAAATATTTATAAATTGAGAAAATGAAAAATTGTAAAAACGAATAAAAAAATCCAATTCATGAAATTGAAATATTCAAAATCAAGAACGCGAAAATGGAAAACTCGAAAAATTGGAAAATAAAAAACGAAAATGGGCCAATTAAGAAATGGGAAAAATCGAAAAATAATGGGTTGGATAAAAAAAATAGACTGATTCATGATAATTGAAAAATTGAAAAAAACGAAAAATTGAAAAACAGAAAATCGAGGAACAAAAGTCGGAAAATTGAAAACACAAAAAAATATTTTTTTGCAGAGAATTAAAAATATTAGTGTTAAACAGATTTATATCACAGAACGCAGACAGTTGCAGCACTTCCTTAAAAAATGGATGAACGTGTCCATTTAAAGTGGTTTAAAAAATGGTCAAGTTTATAATTTATTATAGCGTTAATTCGGAATAAGTTTTTTTAAACCATGTTTGTTTCTTTATTTACATAACGTAGACGCAGAATCCCATTTTAAAAACTAAAATAAATATTTACTTTTGGGCTACCACATTTTTTAAAATTTTAATTCATTAACCGTTGCCAATAAACCAACGTGATTTGACATCTAAGCCAATATTTTTGTTTTTGTTATTTTGCTTTCCCACATTGAATCGATAAACAAATTACAAAATACAGCAAACACGCGTTTCCCTTTCATTCCATCCTACAATTTGTATATTGATTTATTGTTAAACATTTTATCAAAAATACGGCTGGTCCGCGGAACGTCTACAACGTGAATTTAGCAATCAGAATTCATGCGTCCCATCATTAAATGTCGATTTAATTTAAATGTACAAATTCGAGTCAGATCGTTATCATTTCCTTTAACGTTAGAAAAAAATGACTGATGTCACGGAAGGATTTTCCATCGAAAGCAATACATCAAGAACGGAATTATTTCCATTCGTTATGTGAACACAATAACCATTTTCGATGTATTTCTCTCAACGGCCATTCAAAACGGTGATTTATGCTTTGATTAAAGCGTTAATTCCACGTGATTTTCCAAAATAAATTTATCGTTTTAATTTCGCAGTTTATATAAAAGCAGATAAAGATATGATTGCGTTGTAAATCCCGTCCGGTTGCGGTATAATTTCATTAAATCCAATAAACACGTTGTGCGACCACCACATATTTATTACCTCAAAAGTCAGTGAGTTTTTTTTATAAAGGCAGTTCGCCGTTCGACGGAGCTTTAAAAATCCGCTTAAAGCATTTTCAGATGCAAGGCCCGATGAATAACATAGCCCGTAAATTACCCGGCAAATGGCCGAAGTTTTCAGCTGTAACGTGTCCGTATTTCAGGAATAAGAAAGGAGAGTGAATTGGCGGTTATCGATTTCTGGTATTGAGGTATTGGGGTGGCGTGGTACAATGATCCGGTATATATTTCTCACCGATTAAAACTTGAGAAGACCGTAATGGTTTTCCAATAATTAAATTTAGATATCGGACAATGTTACAAATCTTTCGTGGGCCTTGTACGATCTTTATCAGCTCTGGATTACTTCAGGAATAATGAAAAACGTGACAGACGCCGTCGAACGCTAATGCTCGAATATTAAAAAATTAAATATTTCATGGCGAGCTTTCCGTTCTGCGAAATATGAACACCACACATAAATCACGAGTTAGTGCTGCGTCGAGAGAGTAGGTAGTGGTGTTACACACGAAAGTTTCACAGAATCGATTAAACTACAACATTTGTCTGCTTATTAGGCAGCTATAGTAACCGAAGTTCAGCGGTAACAAGTACCAACTTTACACTTCCAACATTCACCTGACACATTACGCAACTAAAAGCACGATACTTCAAAAAAAGTTAAAACTGCAACAAAACCAATTATTTTTATTTCGTACAAGCATATATATATAAAATCCTAGTGTAACTACTCCAGTCCGAAAATTCTTCCACAACACCCTGTACTAAGACAACCTTTTAATACGATTCCACTCCCTTTAAAGTAATCCAATATATCGAGGCTTTCATCACAATTAACTAAATTTAAATCCAAATCGATCACTTTCAGCACAGGCCATTTGTCTTTGAATAATTCCAAATTTAACCCATTTAAGCGGTTCCGTTTGATATCAAGAAGTGTCAGTTTGGTACTCCTAGTAATTTTCATCAAATCGAACGTCGTCAGTTCATTATGAGAAACATTTAATTTTCGTAATTCCACTAAATTATCAAAGAAGTCGTCAGGGAAAAACGTGATTTTATTTTCTGCTAGATTCAGATCCTGTAATTTGGTCCAAGCATTCACGAAACTTTCGTTTGAAGCTATTTGTGGTCTAACCATTAACTGATCACTTTCATCATTTTTACCTGTAAGATAACTAGCAAAATTCTGTTGATTCTTGACTAATGCTCTTTGGTTTTCCAATATACTCTCATTCAAAATTTGGAAAAAATTAAAATTTGAATTAACGTTTTGAGTCTTTCGTTGATTTGAGCGCAGAAAATTATGTCCCAAATTAAAATAAGAATTGTTATTTTGATTTGTAAACTGAAAAGGATTATTATTATTGAAATTCTGTCCATTCTGGGGAATCGTGAAGAAGAAGAAACCAGCACTAGGCGATTTTGAATTGTCTCCTTGTTGATTACTTCTCGATGAAGATTCTGTAGTTTGTGGATCTTGAAACTTACCACGTCCTCTTGTTTCGTCAATAAGACTCATTAAATTACCAGCAAGACTTAAAACTCTCAAACTTGGTACATTCCTAAAATCGTATCGCCTAAGATTTACCAATTTGTTATTATTCAAATACAACTCTTGCAAACTCGGCAAGATTAACTGACCGTCAAAAGAGGCAAGACTATTGTGAGCTAAATTCAAAATTCTCAATTTCTGAAGACGATTAAAGTCACTATATCTGACAATAGTCAGTCGGTTATTATTTAGATACAGTTCCTCTAGTTCATGTAATTTTACAAACAGATCGTTGATTTCTTCCAAACGATTGAACGACATATTCAAAACTTTCAAAAATCTCAAACTATTAAAAGTGCTTGATCTCAATAAAACGATCTCATTAAAACTGATATCCAGTTCCGTTATTCCTTCGGCTTTATCTGAAAAATTTAGCTTCATCTGGTTCCCTCCCAAATTCACGGATTTCAAATTTGGATAGTTTTGAAAGATTTCATCATCGATCGATTCTAGTTCAGCGTCATTTATTTGTAGTTGTTCTACCCTACCCCTGTGTCGTGAACAAATTTTGCCAAAGAGATCATAATTCAACGAATTGGAAGGCAAAGAAACGGCGGTGATGACCACCTTGCATCTGCAAGACATGATTGAGCCTTCAAAAACTTCATCGTAGATGCACTTCATTTCTGTATTACATGTACGAGAAAGAAAATTCGTAGGTTCGCAATCAAAATTTGCGAAAATTTGACCAACCAGAAGTTGAAAAAGCACTACAGATGTCGTGGAAAAAACCTAAAACAGAAAAAATATATTTCCCACTGACTAATTCGAGTACATGCTTTTCTGTTTCAAATTTTTATACGAGCAAACAATCCCTCGTCACCTTTTATCTATTTATGTAAATATCGTCCATATTTCGTGATCATCATTTTTAGCAAACCAATCATAAGCTTGTTGTTGGAAACATTTCAAAATTTTCGATCTGATGTTTTTTATGCTCCTACCATATACTTGATGATTTTTATTTAAACACATTTTCGACGCTTCATTAATTTATAATTACTACATTTTTTCTTCTACACAATTTGCCCAGATAAAAAATTGTAAAAATGTGTTCGTAACTTTATTTATGACTATTAACTGCTAATAAAGACAGGTTTTCCGAACTCTTACTACGTACTTTATGTATTTCAAATTGTAAGCATTTTTATTTTAATAAGCTACAGTAAATAATGAAAAATGTGCTGTCCTCTAACGGAAACTCGCAAAATAGTGGCAGAACACTGAAAGAAATTACATTACAGAATTCTTCACTTACAAAAATAGATTGAAAAAAATGGACGTACAAAGTTTGCTTGTTAATAATAAAAAAAAACTACAACAACAACCTACAACTATATCCATTTATTTAAGTTTTAATCACATTTCTCTGATAATAATTGCTTGTTTTTTATTTTACAGCTGCTTGCTTTCTGATAACCTTTCAAAGTCAGTATAGATACGTTTCTTAAAAGCGATTCAATAACAATAACAGCGTATTAAAAATATAATCAACATAATTATATTCTTTACTTACCAACATCTTTAAACTGCAGAGTAAATCACTGCCGATGAACAAAATGTCACCAAATTCCACAGTTTTACCATTGACTAGGTGTCATAGACTCCTTTGTATAATATTATAACATACTCTTTACACACATTGTTTTGACACTACGTAGAAATATGATGCACCTCTTGACTGAACTCCAGTTAAAAATCCCAAACCGAAAAATCGTCCACTGAACTTGTGTGTTTACGTGCGGGATTTCCAGCGTACAGAGTGAGAGTCCGATGATGGGAAAATAGGAATCCCTGGGTGAATAAAATTGAAAACAGCAAAAACTAACTAACCACTTACAACTAACACTGGAGTTTTATACCACAGAAATTAAAAAAAAAATGGCAATTTTTACTTATTATTTAAACAATATAAATATACCGAGAGTACAAAAAAAAAGGCTTATTAAAGACAAATATTTGTCATTGATAGAAATTTCGTCTTTCAGATTACCTCAACTTTCAAAAATACATGGCTATTTTTAAACGCGTATTTTATTGCTCTCTCGGTATATACGGACGAGTCTTATAGTTTCCTAATGTCAAATTCTTTATCTTCATACTTCTGTCACAAAAAATGTAACCACCAATAAGGACCATTCTGATCTAGATTTATTTAGTTATCAATTCTTACATCAAACCGTATTCAGGATATTTTATTATTTATTTTTTTACGACCGGTTTTGGCCAGTGACTAGCCATTCTCATGTCTTTATATGCAATAAGAAGAGTTGTCACTAAAAAAAATTACATTTAACCATTAAAATAGTAAATTTACTTTTAATTTTTAATCTTGTATTAGATTAGTGCTTTATAAATTATTTCAGTCACACTAACCAAAATGTGTCTAATAATTTCTGCCAATAATGGGATAACGTCTTCTTTTAGAGACGTTAAAAACGGTTTTTTATTAAATGGGTCGTTTTTTGTTTCAAAACAATTTTTTTGTGCTTTTTTTGTTGTTATAAACTTTTAATAGTATTAATATTCAATAAGCAGTTAAAATATACTTGTTTCTGTAAATTAACAAGTATTTGTTATTTAATAGAATCAAGGTTTCCTTAAAAAAATTAAAATTTACAGTAGCGCGCCATCTTTGGGTTTAAATTTGAACTGCTTGGACGACAATCGACAACGAGCACTGCAACAACATGCTCTCTATAACCATTATATACCTAAACTCAAAATTTTTAATCAGATTCACGGATCAGATTAGAACAAATAAGTTTGATGGTATGTTTTATGGTAAGATTTTACATTTATATACAAATCAGCTGTCAATTTAAAAATATCTGTAAAAGCTTTAACATTTTTGACAAGAGGTGGCACTGCACCAGAGGCAAGTTCATAGATAAATAATACTACGTAAATAGAATGCAAACTCCCATTTGATTTTTGGTCTCAATAAACGCCCCCTGGTGCCTTGTGGCCGGTGCTAAAGCATGAACTACTAGATGCGTCATTGCTGCATATTTTATAATTAATATTTTATTTTTATTATCACTAATAATATCAAAAACACAAAGTAGAATAATATACAATTTATTAGTATTGTCTACGATTTTTTGACTTTAATTTTTTTTGGTACATTATACAAGCGTTTCGATATAATGCATTTTTATGTGTGGAAACTCTTGTATCGCGACCGCTTAAAATTAAATTCAAACCTTTTACAAACGTAAAAATTGTTAAATATATAATTTTATTACATATTTCACTTTCAATTAATTCCTTATGTTCACAATGAAACGAAAATTTGACATGATGAGATACTATAAACGAAATTTTGTTTTTGATGTTGTCGAAAGATGTACAATTGTTTAAAACGATTCTTGAAATATTATAAATTCTGTTAATGTTTTTTATAAAATCTAACTTACAATATTGCAATTTTCTGTTATTACAATTGTATTCTCTTATACGCATTAATTTGTAACATTGTTCGTCTTCCGAAAAATTGTTTAAAATTTGGGTTTTACAATATTCACACTTCAAATTTCTTAATGTTTTCGCAACCCAGCCAGACACATAACCAACAATACTTTTATGAAGATCTTTTTCTAAATTATATGGAGACAGTTTTGAAATGTACATATTCACGTTTAAAATTTCGTAACTCGTTTCATTTACTGAAGGTTGATTTATGTTTTTATCCACAAGTCTTTTAATATGAAATAAATCCGGTATGTTCGTTTTCTCACAGTTTGCGCCCACTGAATTTGAACTATAAAAATTGCGTAATAATAGAGATTTGAAACTTTCCTTAAATTGGGCTGCCGTTAGATTAGTTGCTCGATTTCTTTGACTTCTGATTTTGCCAAAATAGTTTTCAATAACATCTTGATTTAAACATCTAGGTAAAAAATATTTGCACCTGCCCTGTTCTACTAAAATTGTATGTAAATCCACAAAACCTTCTAACGTTGCAATCCAGTTTTTTACACACGGAGGTACTACCATTTTTCCGGCCTCATCGACGAAATACATATCACCCAAAATTTTGATAGCTTCCTTCCAAAAATGTTTATGACCAGAAGATTTAAATACGCCCCCAGAAAATGGTTTTCCGCACCGTGATTGAAAAGTACTGCCATTTACACTGTCGAAGAGCTTGTCAAAAAATTTTATAATTCGTGCTGTTCCCATTGCCTCGTGTGTTAAACTGCATTCGGCTGTAAAATTAAATTGTAAATGAATCTGTTAATTATTTTTAAATTTGTATTTACTAGATTTAACCAATAGCGTAATAGTCGATGCCATTGAGTGACTCAAAACTTGTGTCGCATAGCACACCTTCATCTTTTGAATTTTTTCCGGAATTACGTGGAGATCCGTAATTTTGTGTAGAGCCCGTAATTCTCCACATGTTTGATCACTGTAGTACGCATCGATTATATGTTTCCAATTTGCAACCAAAATTTCCTCGCTTGTTTTCCACACTAAATTTTTAGTAAGCAGATTGTTCCTAATACATTTAATTAAATGAGGCGTGTCATATAAGGGAATAATTTCTTGATCCCCTAATAAAATTCTTCTTTTAGGTTCCATCCCTTTATGTATATAACGTTGTTTCGACTCCTTTAGCAGAGACTTTATAGCTGCTTGGTTTGGTTGGCCTTGATCACAAATTGTAACCAGAATTTTGAATCCACAATTTTGTATTTTTTCAACCAGAGTTTTTATAATAGTTGTCAATATGTAAGATTTTGTAGACGAAAAAGAAAATGCAAAGTATATTGGCTGTTGCCATTTTTTAAACACTCCGCGAATGAAAAAAACAAGAACATGATCTGCTATCTGTAAATTTTGTTCAAATCCAAAATTTTGAAATCCGAAAAATGTATCCGTATATTTGTCATAGTCTATGTGGGGCATTATGGACATTTCATCAAAAATTAATGCACATATTCTATCTTGGTTATTTAATTTTGAAGCAGATTCTTTAAGATTGTCGAAAATTATTTTGTTTATACCAACGTCTACTGGAATTTTGTTCAACATAGACATAATTGTTTGACGTGAAGGCAGTGCAAAAATCTGTCTCATTTTTCTATAACATCTCCCAGACTGTTTATAAAACATTAATGCAAATAATTTATCTTCAGTGGTAAACCTGCGACCCTTTGGTTTGACATTTCGTCTTTTTAATTGTGATAAACAAAAATTTATAGCATCCTGACTTAAAATTTTGCTTTCTAATTTTACTTCAAATTTGGAGTATAATTTCAATCGTTGGCGATACGAAGCTACCTTAATTTTGTTTCTACGGGCTGTACGCGAAATATTCCTAGAATTTGAATGTAAATTTAGTATTCGAGAAGATTCTTGGTTTAAAGTTTCGTTTAGGGTTTCTCTGGAATTTCGAGATGTTTCAGTACAAAATTTTTGAGAATCCAGTATAGAAATAGGGTTTACGGGATCATGGGTGTGTCTTTCGGGGTCGTTCATATTATCTGAAATTATTGTAAAAATTATCTATGGCATTCACTTGCACACAAATATTTACCATGCATAATTTGAATTGTAGGAATGGCAGTATTTTTAAGTTTTTGATTGGGGCCAAAATCCGTTTCTTTAAAATGTACATCGCAAAGAAAATATCCATTTTTATATATTTTCGTGGGATCTAATTTGCCTAAATTTGGATTCCCTGTCCGTTCCAACCAAATTTTAAAACGCTCGTTGTATTTGTAGGGGTTGGGAAAACGATGGCGTTTAATAATTTTAGTGTTTAGACATTTCAAAACACTGCATAGTTTCATATTTTACGCTTTGTTATCACGTATAATCACACAAATGACACTTTTATACTAATCATAAATGACATTAGTTTTTTTATTGTTTCTTAAAATTTAAAATTGGCTGTGGAAGTTGTCGCCAAGTAATTTTTGGAAAAAAATACTTTACTGCTATCAGTGCTATCTCTTATTATGTGGCCGGTACATAAGCCTAGACACAAACCTGGGACACGCATTACAGCCGAGTTTGCATTCTATTTTACGTAGTATTATTTATCTATGGGCAAGTTTAAAAAATGTGTATTCAACGATTAGAATAATTAAAGGATTTGGTAATACAGTTGTGTAAAATTGCGTGCACCCTCAGAGGGGTGCGGTGACCGAAAAAATTAACGTCATTATAACTTAATTATCCCTAGTGCGACCGAATTTCTACAAATTCCGCTAGGGAAATTAGCAACTTGGAAATTATGTTGGCACTGATTTATTCCCCACGTCAAAGCTGTTTGGACTTCTAACCTAAATCTTTAGAAGAATAAAACAAGATAAAATCAATTACTAAACAATTTTCTCGCCAAGAAAAATACCACAATGGGTAAGAGAAAAAGAAATAAGGGCGAAAGGCGAAGCGAAAACAACGATCGACCGGGCCGACACCCGCCACACTTGAGAGGAAAACAAATCGGCTTATTTTACGCCCAGAAGTCTAAGGAAAAAAAAATTCAACATCTAAAACGACCTGTAAAGAAATCGTTCATGATTTTTTCACTTAATAATCCGTTGTTATTGCAGCTGGGGGCCATATTGTTGTCAACAACAAAAAAACAGCAAATCCAGTCAGTTTTGAACTCCACCTCGTTCAAGAACTTGTTCGTTGTTGATGATGGCTCTTACGAACACGTAAAGGACTCGCATTTTAAAAGAGATTTCATGCGTGTTATTAGCGAAACAATTGATGAAAAGTTAACGAAGACACCTGTGATTATTTCAGATGATTCTCGACTGGATACTACGTATTATGAGGAATTTGTAGCAAAACAACAAAATCAGCGATATGTGAATATGTTGGAAAAGCGCAAGAAATTACCAGCGCATGAATTAAAAAACGAGATATTGAAAGTATTGGAGGAAAATCAGGTTCTTGTGATTAGTGGGGAGACAGGTTGTGGTAAAACAACTCAAGTGCCACAGTTTATTTTGGACGATTTTTTGGAAAAACAGAAAGGGTCTGGGTGCAGGATCTTGTGCACACAACCCAGAAGAATAAGTGCTATTTCTGTTGCCCAAAGAGTGGCAGATGAGAGGGCAGAGAATCTAGGACAGAGTGTGGGGTACCACATCCGTATGGAAAGGTAAAATATCGTTTTAGTTTTAGGCCATCATGTTCATGACAGAAACGTCAGAATTTTTTGTAATTTATTAATCTCGTTTAAATTACAGGCGTCTTCCTCGAGATCGAGCCTCCGTTTGCTTCTGCACGACCGGCGTGGTGCTCAAAATGATGGAATCTGATCCTTCATTGTCCACAGTGTCTCACTTGATCCTCGACGAAATTCACGAACGTGATGTCATGTCGGATTTTATTCTAGCTTTGATTAAAAAAATCAGGAGCATAAGAACGGATTTGAAAATTATTCTTATGAGTGCCACTCTAAATTCAGAGAAGTTTTCACGATATTATGATAATTCTCCACATATCAACATTCCTGGATTCACTTACCCTGTCAAAGAATTCTACCTGGAAGATGTTCTATTCAGGACCAAGTTCGTTTATGAGGAGAAACGAATAAAGCAGCAGAAAATCGCGGAATATAGTAGATTTATTGAACCTCATGTTAGACAGTTGGAAAGAACAAATCAGTACAGCAGAGAAGTATGCATACAGCTTAGAAGTCCACTTTGTGAAGAAATAAATATAGAACTGATATTCACACTTCTTGTGGACATTTGCCTAAAGGTTAGTGGTTTTTTATTGTCACTGATCCATAATAATCATTTGTGGTTTATTAACAGGAACAGGATGACGGAGCTATCTTAGTTTTCTTGACGGGTTTCGGGGAAATATCGTCTTTAACAAGAATGCTTCAAGAATCGGGTCAATTCCCCTCACACAAATACCTAATTTTTCCTTTACACTCGTTAATGCCAACGATCGAACAAAAACAAATATTCGAAGTACCTCCCAGAGGCACCAGAAAAATCATCATAGCCACTAACATCGCAGAAACGTCGATAACAATCGACGATGTTGTCTACGTTATAGACTGTGGCAAAATAAAAGTGACTGGTTTCAATGTCAAAACCAACACGGACATCCTAGCTCCAGAATGGGTATCTTTAGCTAACGCGAATCAACGTAGAGGGCGCGCTGGTCGGGTTAAACCTGGCGTGTGCTTTCACCTATTCAGCAAAGCTCGAAACATGGTCCTAGAAAAATACCAACTTCCAGAAATTTTAAGGACACGTCTTGAAGGTGTTATTTTGACGGCAAAAGTGTTGCAGTTAGGCGACATTTCCACCTTTTTCCAACAGTTGATTGATTCGCCAGAACCTGATGCTGTGTCATTGGCTCTTGATTTACTCAAGCGTCTGAATGCGTTAACAGGCGACGAGAAACTAACACCGTTGGGGTATCATCTGGCGAAGCTTCCGATGGCGCCCCAAATGGGAAAGATGATTTTATTCGGGGCGATTTTTAGTTGTCTAGACCCCATTTTATCAGTCGCTGCTACTTTGGATTATAAAGATCCCTTTCAGTTGCCCGTTGGTAAAGAAAAAGAAGCGAATTTGATGAAGTTGGAGTTGTCTGATGGGATTAAGAGCGACCATTTGCTTTTTCACGAAGCTTTGAAGGGGTTTGAAAGGTGTGGGAATAACAGTCGCCAGTTTTGTTGGAGGTATTTTTTGAGTTATCACACTTTGAAGCAGCTACAGGACATGAAGAAACAGTTCATGGAGTATTTGCATGAGATGAATTTTGTTCCAAACTCTGACCCGAAATCGCCGGAGTGTAATAGGAACTCGCAGAATTTGAGTTTAATTAAAGCTATTATTTGCGCGGGGCTTTACCCGAATATAGCGATTTCAAAGTAAGATCTTGAATCTTACAAAATTACGGAAAAGTATGGAACTGGTTAAAATTTTTAAAATCAAACTATGCAAACTGCAGGCACATATCTTTTGAGACAGATTTGTATGTATGTATATGGATATAGGTGTCCCGTTTTTTCTAACTAATTGAAAAGATGGTTTAATATGTTGTGGTACGTAATTAATTTAAAAATACTTTCCACTATACAGGCGTCTTAAATTGTATTTTTCAAACTATTTTTTATAACAAAAAACGAAAAGTGTGAGCTGAGATGTTTCGAATTTTGGGTTTTTACAATTTGTCATTTCTTCAGTTTTACAGTTTTTCATTTTTTCGATCCTCCAGTTTTTAGATTTTTCAATTTTTGGCATTCTTAATTTTCTATTTCTCGGCTTTTTGTTTTAGAATTTTTTAATTTTTCCATTTCTGCATTTCTCAACTTTTCGATTGCTGGACGTCTCGAGTTTTCAGGTTTTTGATATATTAATTCCTCGATTTTTTAAATTTTCGATTTCTCCATCTTTCAATATTTCCTTTTCCCTATTTTTCAATTTTGCCATTTTTTTTAACTTAGAATTTTTTATTTTCTGATATTTCAATTTCTGGCGTTTCTAAATTTTCGATTTCTTGATTAATCGATTTTTCACCTTTTCGATTTCTCGGTTTTTTGACTTATCGACTTTTCGATGTTTCGATTACTCGACGTCTCAATTTCTGGATTTTTCAGTGTTTCAATTTTTCGATGTTTCAGGTTTTTGATTTTTCAGTTTTTCGATTTTTCGGCGATTCGATTTCTCGATCTTTCAGTTTTTCGATTCTTCAATTTTTGTTCGATTGTTCAGTTTTAGAGTTTTTCAATCTTCCGATTCTTAATTTTTTCGATATTTCGTTTTAGATTTTTAGATTTCTCAATTTTTTATCATTTTCGATTTTTCAATTTTTTGATTTTGCGATTTCTAGATTTTTCAATTTTTAGCATTCTTAATTTTCAATTTCTCGGCTTTTTGTTGTCGAATTTTTGAATTTTTCCATTTCTGAATTTCTCAACTTTTCGATTGCTAGACGTCTCGAGTTTTCAGGTTTTTGGTATATTAATTCCTCGATTTTTTAAATTTTCGATTTCTCGATTTTTCAATATTTCCTTTTCCCTATTTTTCAATTTTGCCATTTTTTTTTGGTTAGAATTTTTTATTTTCTGATATTTCAATTTCTGGCGTTTCTAAATTTTCGATTTCTTGATTAAGCGATTTTTCACCTTTTCGATTTCTCGATTTTTTGACTTATCGACTTTTCGATGTTTCGATTACTCGACGTCTCAATTTCTGGATTTTTCAGTGTTTCAATTTTTCGATGTTTCAGGTTTTTGATTTTTCAGTTTTTCGATTTTTCGGCGATTCGATTTCTCGATCTTTCAGTTTTTCGATTCTTCAATTTTTGTTCGATTGTTCAGTTTTAGAGTTTTTCAATCTTCCGATTCTTAATTTTTTCGATATTTCGTTTTAGATTTTCAGATTTCTCAATTTTTTATCATTTTCGATTTTTCAATTTTTTGATTTTGCGATTTCTAGATTTTTCAATTTTTAGCATTCTTAATTTTCTATTTCTCGGCTTTTTGTTGTCGAATTTTTGAATTTTTCCATTTCTGAATTTCTCAACTTTTCGATTGCTGGACGTCTCGAGTTTTCAGGTTTTTGATATATTAATTCCTCGATTTTTTAAATTTTCGATTTCTCGATTTTTCAATATTTCCTTTTCCCTATTTTTCAATTTTGCCATTTTTTTTTTGCTTAGAATTTTTTATTTTCTGATATTTCAATTTCTGGCGTTTCTAAATTTTCGATTTCTTGATTAATCGATTTTTCACCTTTTCGATTTCTCGATTTTTTTACTTATCGACTTTTCAATGTTTCGATTACTCGACGTCTCAGTTTCTGGATTTTTCAATTTTTCGATGTTTCAGGTTTTTGATTTTTCAGTTTTTCGATTTTTCGGCTATTCGATTTCTCGATCTTTCAGTTTTTCGATTCTTCAATTTTTGTTCGATTGTTCAGTTTTAGAGATTTTCAATCTTCCGATTCTTAATTTTTTCGATATTTCGTTTTAGATTTTTAGATTTCTCAATTTTTTGATTTTGCGATTTCTCGATTTTTCAAGTCTTAGCATTTTTTGACTTTCCGACTTTTAAGATTTTTTGATTGTCCCATTTCTGAATTTCTCAACTTTTCGATGATTCGATTGCTCTTCGTCTCGAGTTTTCAGGTTTTCGATTTTTTAAATTTACGATTTTTCGACTTTTCGATTTCTCGATCTTTCAGTTTTCAATCTTCGACTTTTCAGTTTCTTTATTTTTCAGTTTTTCCATTTTTTTAACTTCCAATTTTTTATTTTTTATATCTCAATTTTTCAATTTTTGGCGTTTCTAAATTTTCGATTTGTCGATTAATCGACTTTTCAACTTTTCGATTTCTCGATTTTTTAACTTATCGACTTTTTGACGTTTCAATTACTCGACGTCTCAATTTGTCGATTTTTCAGTGTTTCAATTTTTAAATTCTTCGATGTTTCAGGTTTTTGATTTTTCACGTTTTTTTTATTTTTCAGTTTTTCGATTTTTCGGTTTTTCGATTTTTTTATCTTTCAATTTTACGATTCTTCAATTTTTGTTCGATTTTTCAGTTTTAGAATTTTTCAACCTTTCGACTCTTAAATTTTCGATATTTCGTCTTAGATTTTTAGATTTCTCAAATTTTTACATTTTTAATTTTTCGATTCTTCAATTTGCCAACGTTCTAATTTTTTAAATTCGAGATTTTTTGATTTTTTAAATTCTTTAGCTTTTCGATTTTTCTATTTTGATCAATTTTTGAAATTTTTAATTTTAGATTTTTAACTCCTATAGCTTTAGAAATTGAACATATAAGAACATATTTTTCATCATATTTTATTCCAAATGTAATACATGCATTTTTTGCTTTTATTTATCTTTAAATAAGCTTTCTTATAATTCATGAAGATTTATGCATTTTTTTTGGCTTTTTTTGTGGTAATATTAACATTTTTTTCAGTAGCAACGAAAATAAAACAAAGAACAAAGAGAAAAACTCTAGAGGTCTTATTGTTATTTTAACGAATATTGAATTTCATACTTTCATTGCTGCTCCGACTTCACATAATACGAAAATACAGGTTTTTGTTTAGACGATTAGGTTAGAAAATTTTAAAATCTGTAATAAAACTACTGAATAATTTGAAATTTTAAGTGACATTTTATTATTGTTTTCTCTAAAAACTACATAATTTGTTAATAATCAAACGCGATAAAACAAAAACTAGTTCCATACTTTTCGTTGAATCACACGGTACTAATTTTTTATTTCTCTTAAGAGTTCTAGGAAAGAAACCTGTGTGGACCCCAACTATGCAAAAATTAAACATCCATCCCAAGTCGATTCTAGCCGAATGTAGATACTTTGACACGAATATTCTCGTGTACTACAGAAAAGTTTATTCAAACAGTGACTACATTCACGATTGTTCGTTAATACATCCACTGCCTGTGATATTTTTTGGAGATAATTTTCAGAGAATGTACGAAGAGGGCCGACACATGATCACGATTAACGAAAATTTAAAATTTGTTTGTACCGAGAGCACTACGTCGATCATTAAAGAACTTCGAGACAGATTTAATTGGTTCTTGGAATATAAAATCTCGCACCCTGGGCCTGTGATTTGGGGGAAAGAAAACGAAACGCGGGTCTTGGAGTGAGTATGATTTTTTAATAAGTCGATTATACATTCTCTATTTTCTAGTGTGATTATGGAACTAATTACTTGCGAGGATCTGGAAGTTTATGACGACGACACCTTTGATGACTATGACTAGATTTTTTTATTTTTCTGCCAGTATTTATTTGTTGTAAAATTTGAAAATTCTTAATAAATTAAATGTTATATGTAAACTTGGGTGCGTTTGAATCATTTCAATGGAATAGCTGTAGTGAGTTCGTTCCTGGAGTAAGTTCCTATATTAGTTTTAGCTCGTTGCAAATAAAATGAAACATTATCTCCGTGTATCACACAGTAACAAATGTAGAATTCCAGTTCTGTATAGCAGTTGAACTGTGACGTGTGTCGCATTGTTCGTTCAAGTTCTTACTGTTTGTCAAAGAACAAAAGTAAAATCGGTAAGTTTTACATTTTACAAACAACATTTAATTTCCTGTGACAACAAAAAGAGGTATGACCTCTATTGATAACTCGGCTGGTTTTGTTGTTATTTGATTATCCAAGAGCGTTGAACTATCAATTCCTTATCAGTCCCCCCAAAAAAAATGCCATAATCTCCCGAAATCTATAGCAACCATATGTAAAAAAAACGCTTTCACAATATTTACAAAGCGATAATTTTTTAATGAGACCTGTCTGTCATTCACATTTTATCTCTTTATTTTAGTTTGTTCATTTTTGGGATCGCAAAAGACAATTTTTGTACGCTTGACCCTCAGTAATTTATTTCCTGCTTTGTTTTTAATTATTTATCAATACGGCCTTTAGTATTTTAAAAGTCGTTATTCGAGCGAGATCAAATTTTCTATAATTTCCTCGAAATTTTCCTGTTTTCTCGCATCTAATTCCCTGTTTTTGTTTGGCATTATCTCAAAATTATCTCGCTATCTGGCGACTTAAGTAGTACAACTTGACGAGTTAAATTTAGTTGGCAAAATTAATTAATCATCCTATTTAGGAGCAATGAACTCCACTTCATAAAACAAATATACAGAAACCAATTCAAGATTAAGTTGTTTCAACAAGTGTACCTAAAATATCTATTTCCTCATCCACAAGGCTATATTATTTTCGGACTCGAATCGAAATTGTTCCAAATCGCAACTGTTTAATAAATTACGTCATTGCGTGAATTTACTCCACATTTCACTCTAACTAAGTGGTCTTAGTATGTTAAAAGTGCAATTCAAAACGAAACGGTGGCCTTCATTTTGAGTTTAATTGTCCATTGAACCTCCAAAACAAACGATTAAATTGTTTAAAAGCAATTTAAAGTTGAAAATTGTCACAGTAGAATGAAGCCGTCGACTATAAAAATCACGTGCTATCATTGCATTCTATATTTGCTCTAGTTACTTTGGGCGATAAAAAGTTTCGTTTATGTGAAGGCGAGTCGGAGGAAATTGCATCAATACCTATACTCTACACACGAAAAACTTGAGTTTCACTGTTTTTTTTTAATCTAACTTTCTGGAACCGAAAATAACACCACATAGTCCGTAATGACTTTTTGCTAATTTGTTGTTAACGTTTTAATAGCATTCGAGAGTTTTTTCTTTTTCTCAGATTCTTGCGTGAACGCGGTTATAAAATTAATTATATGTCATTTTCAGCCTTTTTCACTATTCTTTTTTATTTTATCTTTTTGTCCATATTCGTAAGAGCAGCAGTGACCTTCATAAACAATATCGACCATCAGTTTTGCTCTTAAATTCCTGCGTTATTTCGAAAAATTCATCGAAGAAGAAAAATTTTTACATCTCAGACGTTTTACAGTAGTCACAGTTTCAATATCCTATTCTACATTATAGCCTTGAGTTTAATGGTGAGGTTTAATTATTTAAGTATTCCAAGATGCCAATAACTGGTAATCTGAGGTTCGCATGTTCCACGTTTATTTGCTCGTAATTTATTTCGCAGTACTTAATTGAATTTATGTAATTGCCATACACATTAACAATGATGTTATAATGGTGTGTATCTTGTGTATATTCCAAATAAAAATTGGAGCCAAATTAAAATAACTATTGGTCAATAATTTTATCTTGTCGAACAGAATAACGTAAATGAAAATATGTTTTATCTTCAAGTTTGCTACCTTCTAATAACAGCTTTTGTAAGTTATGTTCTCTTAAAAGTGTGGAAACTTGTAAATTTTATTTTTAGTTCTAAATCAAAATATGACTACTTGTACAACAAATTTTTAGAAGTGGCGTATTTCCAACCATTCTGTTATCCGTTATCACTAGAGCTAAATTTGTTCAAAATAATTTGTTTACAGTCGTATTTTTATTCTAAAAAAAGCACGGTTAGTACAATCAAAATTACGATTTAGTAGTGTTTAGTTAAATTTAAGAAAAGGTACGAGCCCCGCCCACCCACCCTTTATTTTCTTAGAAGAGTAGGTCATTTGCGAAAATCAGTCTCATACTTGCCAACATAAAACTGATTTTGGCATATGACCTATTCTTTATTTTCTTAGAAGAGTAGGTCATTGGCAAAAATAAGTCTTATTTTGGCAAATACTAGCCCGGCCCATCCGCCTTTTATTTTCTTAGCGGGTAGATAGATCATTTGCCAAAGTCAGTCTTATCCTGGCGAGGAGTACTAACTAGATTTTTCAGTTTTTCGATTTTTCAACTTTCGAATTTTTCAATTTCTCGCTTTTTATATTTTCAATTTTTTGATCTGTCTTTCGATTTTTGGTTTTTCTGGGCAACTGAAAAAAACTTTCGATTTTTTAATTTTACAATTGTGGCAATTTTGCGATTTCTCAATTATTTGATTTTTAAAAACATCGAGAAAATAGATGCCTATTTTTTAAATTTTCGATTTTTGATTTTTTGTCACCGAGTGTTTGGAAGGGAGTACAAAGTAATTTTGATCAGCGATTGCCATGTTCACCGTAACTTTAAAACATCTGAAAATTTTGTTTCTAGTTTTCAATTTTTGGATTTTTCGATTTTTTAAAACTTCGGTTCGAATAAATTTGTTCTTTTAGTAAAAAATCGAAAAACAACAAATCGTGAAAAGGAAAAATTTTAACTTGAGAACTTGAAAAATTAAAAATCAAAAAATTCCAAAATTGTAAAGTTAAAACACGAAAAATCAAAAGATTGGAATTAAAAACTGCAAAATTGTCAAAAAAATTATCAATTGAAATATTCAAAAGTTGAAAAATCTAAAAACTAAAAAAAATTAAAACAGGAACTTCGAATTCGATTTTATACGATTTTTTTTTCAATTTTTCGATATTTCAGTTTTTGATTTTCCGATTAAACAGTTGTACAATTTATCGATTTCTCATTTATCCACTTTTTCAATTTGTCATTTTTTTTATTTTTTAGTTTTTTTATTTTTAGCAAGTACTAGCCCCACCCACCCACCCTTATTTTCTTAAAAGAGTGGGTCATCTGCCAAAATCAGTCTTATCCGGACAAGTACTAGCCCCGCCCACCCACCTTTATTTTCTTAGAGGTTGTGTCATTTGCCAAAATCAATCTCATCTTGACAAGTACTAGCCCCGCCCACCCACCCTTTATTTTCTTAGAAGAGTGGATCATCTGCCAAAATTAGTCTTATCTGGACAAGTAATAGCCCCGCCCCCCCACCCTTTATTTTCTTAGAAGAGTGGGTCATCTGCCAAAATCAGTCTTATCTGGACAAGTACTAACCCCGCCCACCCACACTTATTTTCTTAGAAAATATGTCATTTGCAAAAATCAGTCTCATACTTGCCAAGATAAAATTGATTTTGGCAGATGACCTACTCTTCTAAAAAAATAAAGGGTGGGCGGGCGGGGCTAGTGCCTTTTCTTAGAAGACTAGGTCATTTGTCAAAATAAGTCTTATTTTGGCAAAAACTAGCCTGGCCTATCCGCCTTTTATTTTCTTAGAGGGTAGGTTATTTGGTGTAAAATTTCATTTTTGAAAAAGTTGTCTAAAAATTCTGAAAAAATATAGCATGTTTATGGTAACGGAGCAATATTTTCGAAAATACGAATTTTTTGAAATTATTGAAAATTGCGATATTTCAATGGACGGTTCTGGAAAAACGGTTTAAGTTATCGAAGAAATGAAACCAGAAGTGCGGCCCAAAATCAACATGGAAATATTTAGTTAAATTTCGAAAATCGTCGAAAATGGGTCGAAATTTGCATAAGGGAGGTAGGTAAATAATCCTGATTTTGGCAAATGACCTAATCTCTAAGAAAATAAAGGGTGGGTGGGCGGGGCCAATACTCGCCAACATAAGACTGATTTTGCCAAGTGATATACCCTCTACGCTTCATTTTTTAGAGCATAGGTCATTTATCAATATCAGTCCTATCTTAGCAAGTACTAGCACTATAATTTTGACTGTATTATCTGATAAAGCTTTTTTTTCAATTTTTCGATATTTTAGTTTTTGATTTTCCGATTATACAGTTCTACAATTTTCCGATTTCTCCTTTATCTGATTTTTCAATTCGTCATTTTTTTATTTTTTGATTTTTTTATTTTCAGCAAGTACTAGCCCCACCCACCCAGCCTTTATTTTATGAGAAGAGTGGGTCATCTGCCAAAATCAGTCTTATTTTAACAAGTACTAGCCCCGCCCACCGACCCTTATTTTCTTAGAGGATATGTCATTTGCCAAAATCAGTCTCATCTTGATAAGTACTAGCCCCGCCCACCCACCCTTTATTTTCTTAGAGGATCTGTCATTTGCAAAAATCAGTCTCATATTTGCCAAGATAAGACTGATTTTGGCAGATGACCTACTCTTCTAAGAAAATAAAGGGTGGGTGGGCGGGGCTAGTACATTTTTTTAGAGGAGTAGGTCATTTGTCAAAATGAGTCTTATTTTGGCAAATACTAGGTTATTTGGCAAGTACTACCACAGTGTAAAATTTCATTTTTGAAAAAGTTGGCTAAAAATTCTGAAAAAATTCAGAGATATATATATTCCGACGTGCTGATTCCAAAAAGATAGCATGTTTATGATAACGGAGCAATATTTTCGGAAAATTCGGTGTGAAATTCGGATTTTTTGAAATTTTTGAAAATTGTGATATTTCAGTGGACGATTCTGGAAAAAAGGTTTAAGTTATCGAAAAAATGAAGCCAAAAGTGACTTCTGTGACCCAAAATCTACAGGGAAGTATTTAGTTAAATTTCGAAAATCGTCGAG